ATCCCATCACCATATAAACCAGGTATAGGGCACATCTGTAATCCCATCACCATATAAACCAGGTATAGGGCACATCTGTGACCCCAGCCCTGGGAAGGAAGGTAGAGAGGGTCAGAACTTTGAGGCCATCCTCCACTATATAGTTCATTTGAGGCTAGCCTGGGATACTACAGACATTAAAAAAAAGGTAAATTGTCATGCTTTGAAAGTGTTTTCTAGAATAATTAAGACCCAACTAACTTACTTGAAAAGTAATTAACTTATTTAGTAGACTTAAGTCTTGTTATAAAGTTAAATTTAGACTGCAATATGTGTTTTTTTTTTTTCAGAATCCAAAGAAATTTGAAGATGTTTTTGATGAAATGATCTATTTTTTAGAGCAGACTGATCACTGGGATAGTACTGAGATGGAACTTGCTGCCAGAGGGGTAAATTCAAATTTTATATAATCCTTATTCCTGTTATCTACATGTATTTACCTGATTGAGGCATTGTTTGTCTTTTGTTTGTTTGTTTGTTGAGACAGAATTTCTGTGTGGTGGCAGGGCATCATTGTATCCAGCTGTGTGGTGGCAGGCACTGTCCTCTTTCTGACATTCATAAACAGTGGGAACTACATTCTCTATTCACTGGTTGGTTGTAAAGAAATGATTTTTAAAGGCCTTTTTCTTCATTCACATCTTCCATCTGAAAATCAAGTGCTTCATCCAGCAAGGCAGTAATGGTCCTGTGTGAGAGCAGTCTTAGATGAGCAGGAGACAGGGCACCTCAGGAGAGCCAAGGAAGGAGGCTCTGACAGACTGAAGAGGAAATGTACGAGAGGAATCAGAGGCAGGTTCTTGTTGTCAGGGACGGTATAAAAGCCAAGAACTTAAACTGCAGCTGTACATGTGAGTCATAGACTGTAACATACACACGGTAGTAGGATTTGATACAGACAGAAAGGTCTGGGTATACAAGCACTTCCCAGCTCTGGTTATGTCGGGCACTAGGAGCAGCAGCAGTGCAGAAATATTATTCCCAGCTCACAGTTCTTGGCTTCTAACCAGCAGCCACGGAAGCAGATAAGAATCATTGAGGAGAAAATGGCCACTCCAGCACTGGGCAGGGAGAGTCCATGCTGAGCTTGGAACAGCTTGCTATGGCCGAAGCTTGTAGGTGAGTTTACAGGAGCCGAGAGGCATGTAGCCAGGGAACAGCAGGCACAGACCCAGAGAGCATCGCTCCTTCTCTGCTGCGCTCTCACTGCGTGGACTGAATCAGTAGAAGCCTGAGCCTCAGCCTTCAGCCTTCCTGTTTTTTACCCAGTTTTCCTCAGTCATCTCTACGCTGGGTAAATCTGAACCCCTAAGTTTTTCTCGGTTCCCATTGCCTTTATCTCGGCCTAAATCTCTATTGCCTTTTCCTAACCGACTTCATATCTTTGTATTCCGTGACTCCCTACCCACTGCATTCCTCCCTTACATTTCTCTTCTCCTATTCGGTTCCACCTACACTTCTGCTAAAATTACCTTCTTGTTGTTCTCATTGTGACCCAGCATTGAACTCTGTGTAGCTAGTGATAAACTTGAGTTCCTGATCCTCCTGCCTCTACCTCTCAGGTGCTGAGATCCCAGTCACATGCCACTAGGCCTAGCTTGCCAAAATCATCTTTAAAACAGATGATGTCACTATCTCCCATCACCACCAACTCCGTTCTCCTGTGAGAATCAACTGGAAGTCCTTCACATAGGTGTAGATCCTTGCAGGATCTGGTCCTGGTTTCTGGCCACCTGCTTTACCATGGAACCCTTTCAGGGATTTTTTCCATTCCACACCATTGTGTCCCCTGGCCTTAAAGTCTGATAGGAATTCCCTGCTCCTGGGAAGGCCCACTCCCCCGGGGAGACTGTCTCTAATGTCCAGCTCAAAATCAGCCTCTCCTGCAAGCTCTTGACACTTTATTGTGCTTACTGGGGGTTGTGATTGGATGCCTGTGGGATTTTCTTCTTGGGGTTTCCTCAGTTTCCCCAGGTTTCCAATCTGCGTACTGTAGCTATCTGAACCCTAGGCTGCAGCTAGTGCATGTGAGTGAGGGATGAAGCGGGATGGATGGCCTCGTGGGTAAGACAGGCAGATCTGGGGTGAGTGAGCAGCAGCACCCCACGAGTGCTGCCCCCGCTCTGACACAAGCAGGAAGAAAAGAATAGTAAGGAGAGACTGATCTGACCTTGCGGGCCAGGGAGGAGCCAATGCCCTGGAAATACAGTTTTGTGCTTACCTTCTCTTTGCGGAGAAAAAGAATCTGAACAACTAAAAAACCTGGCATTGCAAAGCTCAGACTTTCCTCGGCTCTCTGTAACACCCACTTCTATCTTGCAATTAATACAGGTGAAAAATGTAAATTTTTATGATGTGGTCCTGGACTTTATTTTAATGGATTCCTTTGAAGATTTAGAGAACCCGCCGACATCCATACAAAACGTGGTGAACAATCGCTGGCTCAACTCCTCCTTCAAAGAAACGGTAAGTGGTGCTGACGTTCTTAGCCACTCACGTTCGGTGGAAAATGGTCAGACACGGACAATGATTAAAAAGTCACATAGAGGTCAGGAGTGGTGGTGCACGCCTTTAATCCCACACTCAGGAAGCAGAAGCAGGTGGATCTCTGTGAGTTCCAGACCAGTCAGAACTACATAGACAAACCCTGTCTCGAAGAAAGCAATTGAGTTCATCATTGTAATTGCTAAGGTCCTTGGTTCCAGAGTTCAGCCTTTTTCTCTTATTGGCTTTGTATTTAATTTTTAATTTCATAAAAGTGAAGTGTCTCCCCTGGTGTTTGTAAACAATACAAGGAACCTGGGGTGTCACTTACTGTTATCTTTGGAATATTTTTAGACCAAGAAACTTTGAATTCCAATAAAAGACCACTGCTTTTAAATGGAAACATTGATGCTAGCTGTGAATGTCAACCTTGCTTTGCTCCGTGTTTAGGCTGTGGCTTCGAGTTGCTGGTCAGTGCTGAAGCAGAAGAGGCAGCAGATGACGGTAAGCACACCACGCCCTGGACCCCTGCCTTAGTGCATGTTCTGTTGCTCTGAACTGAGACTGGAGAATGTGTAAGGAGGGGGGCGGATCCAGACCGCAGTGAAGGCCACGGAGTCCAAGAGGCTTTGTGCTGCGCCAGCACCCGCAGAACAAGCAGGCCTGTGTGGAGAGAGGGAAATCAGGGACAGCCTTGCTCTCCAGCAGCGCACCCTCACAGGAGCACCTCACAGCCTGGCCAGGTGATGGCTTACTCAGTCAGAAAGGCACTGATAAACCATGGGGGCCCTACATCCGTGATGAACATGTCTTCCCATGTCTCTTCCAGTCCATCTTACCCACAAAGCACTGCTCTCACTGCGCCCTGCTGGTGGTAAAGTGTGTTGACTCTGAAGTGCAGTGGCCTGGGTTGAAATGTCACTAACAATGTGACCTTGGCCAGCTGCTTCATCTTGACACCTCAATGTCTTCATCTCTGAGAAAGAGGATAACACCACTGTTTACTTTATACAGTTCTTAAAAGGTCCAGTGTAAAGTGCTAAAGGCTCAGATCTAGCTCAGTGGCCTTCAGTTCAGTTCCAGCTGTTATTCTGTTATTTTCCCAGTGGCCTGTTTTACCACGGCCATGTTTTCCAATCTAACATTGTAACACTGACCCTGAAGGCCAACCACAGCGTGTCTCAGCGTGTTCCTCCCAGCATCTTCAGTGTGTGCTGTCAGTAATAATTCTAGTCTAAGGTTATCCCAGAAACCATACTATGTTTGCCTGTCTCTCTCGGGGAGTGGTATGAGTTTGTGTGGATGTATGAGATGAGTGGGTGGATGACTGTGTGTGTATGCATGCTTCTTCAGGGAGATGCCACAGTATGCCTATGGAAGTTAAAAGTCAGCGTTTGGGTATCAGTCTACACCTTTCCACCTTCTCGGAGACAGGGTCTTTTTGCTGCTGTGTAAGCCAGGCTCAGTGAAAATTCTCCTATCCCTTCCTCCCATCGCCCCCGAGGGACACATCAGCATCACAGATACTTGTGCCGTGTGTCTGCCTTTTATGTAGGTTCTAAAGGTCTGAATTTAGGTTATCAGTCTTGCATGACAAGCTCTTTACCCACTGAGCCAAAAACAAAACAAAAACTCAGTGGAAAGCTTCACCAATTAAAAGATCAAGTGGAATAATATCAAGATAAGAGAAAGGAACTGGACCAAAATAAAAGACCAAAATGAACTTGGAGGAGGAAAGGGTTTCTTAGGCTTATACTTCCACGTTACAGGGCACCGTCAAGGAAATTGAAGGCAGGAACCTGGAGACGGGACTGGAGAAGACGCTATGGAGGAATGTTGTTCTTCGCGGTGTACTCGTTTGCTTTCTTATATCATCCAGGACTACCTGTCTAGAGATGGCCCCACTTGCCGTGACCAGCACTCTCCCGTAACAGTCATGAATCAAGAAAATGTCCCTCAGACTTGCCTGCTGATGGAGGCAGCCCCTTAATTAAGGTTCCCTCCTCCCAAATGGCTCTAGTTCGTGTCAAGTTGACAAAAACCAACCAGCCGACCAGCACACCCATGGACAGAACTTGCATGAATTTTAAGACACTATAAAAAGACCAAACTTGAGAAACACAGAAGAAAGAAAATAAACGCAGGTCAGAATTACAGAAAATATGCTCAACAATGTCATAGAAGAAAATTTCCCAAGTTAAAGGCAAGAGTTGCCTATCAAGATGCAAGAGGCATATAGAACATGAAATGGTTGGGACCAGAAAAAGAATTTTCCATGTCATATAATAGTCAAAACATGAAATGTCCAAACAAACGATATTGAAAACTACAAGAGAGAAAAGACCAAGTCCCATATAAAGGCAGGCCAGAATAACAGCTACATCTGCTTTTTAGAGGAGATTTAAAGAGCCACTGTGGCTCAAATGGATGTTCTACAAGTCCTGAAAGACCACAGATGACGTCTTAGACTATTGTACTAAGCCAAAAAATAAAAAGCTATCAGTCATAAAGAAGGAAAAAGAAAAACTTTCTATGATGAAAACAGATGAAAGGAATTTATGACCACCAAGCCAGCTCTGTGGAGGACACTGGAAAGAAGACTTTGGTCTGAAGAGAAGAAGGACTTGACATTTCTAAGCAGACTGTTTGGGGCTAAAAAGATGACTCAGCATATGCTGTTCTTGCAGAGAACCCAAGTTCAGTTCCCGGTCCTCAAGTCAGGAACCTCACAACCACCAGTCCCAGGGGATCTGAAATCTTCTGGCCTCTGTGAGCAAGTGTATGTATGTGCACAGTGATCTGCCATGTGAGTGCTGAGGATCAAACCCAGGTCCTCTGCAAGAGCAACCAGTGCTCTTAACTTCTGAGTCATCTCTCCAGCCTGAAAAGGAAAATCTTAAATTCCTAGAATAGAATGAAAATGAAAATATATCAGAAACCTATGGTTTATAGTGCTAAGTTCTTATGCCAGAGAGAGAGAGAGAATCTTAGTAATGACTTAATGATGCGTCTGAAGGTTGGGAAAACAGGAGCAAACGATGCCCGATATCAGTAGATGGGCCGAGATAATCAAAATGAAATGGAAACAAGAACAGTTCAAAAGAGTCAATGAAACAGAGGTGTTGTTTATGTTTTTGGTTTTTTTTTTAAGATGGACAGCATTGTCCATCTTAATTTGGCAAACCATTGCCAAATTAACTAAAAGAGAGGTAAGAGCCAAATTAATAAACTTGGAGACGGGAAAGTAACCCTACAGCAGACACGGGGACTCCGACTCCTAAGGACATAGCTTTAAAATCCATACACCACTAAACTAGAAAGTCTTGTTATCGGCAAGCTTAGAGATTGTCCTCAAATGCAAATACATATGGCAGGATTCCGCAGGTCAGTCACATGACTAAGTTTACTCACATTGACTTTCCTAACTAAGGTTGGAGTTGTAGTAAGCACAGGTTAGAGCTGTGCGTGTTCACCTGTTATCGGCTGGGACCTGTGCTGCCAGCAGTGACTGGAGTCCTTGATCCTCTTGCTTCTCCTTCCCGAGTGCTACGATTATAGTTGTGTTCCCCCACATCTGGGCTTATGTGTCAAACCCACAGTTTTGTGCGTGCTAGGCAAGCACTCCTCCAACTGAGCTACATCCCAATCCCTAATGCTTAATCATTTAGTGATTAGTCACTTAAAGCCCATTTAGAGCTGGGCGGTGGTGGCGCACGCCTTTAAATCCAGCACTCGGGAGGCAGAGCGAGGCAGATCTCTAAGAGTTCGAGGATAGCTTGACTTACAGAGTGAGATCCGGGACAGGAACCAAAACTACACAGAGAAACCCTGTCTCAAAAAACCCATTTTAGAGGGAGTTTTTGGGTCACTACAGTTGAGTAAGACTTTCAAATCCTAAAAATAACAGTGGGCAGAATACCCCTAAAAATTACATGGAAGAATACTGTGGCACTGTTAGAACTTGGCTGCAGTGTGGTGATTGCTCTTAGGAAGTAGAAGTTAAATGCAAAACCAAGATGCTCTGTGGTTGTTTGACTGAGAATGGCCCCTATAGACTCATATTTTGCATGCTCAGTTCCCAGCTTGGGAAGGATTAGGAGGTGTGGCCTTGTTGGAAGAAATGTTCCAGAATTTAAAAAAAAAAATCTGAAATTTTCCTGGCTGGAGCCCCTGGATAAGGAAGGTTCAAAATGTATTTTTATGAGGTGAATCTGCCTTTTAGAAAGTTGTTTCTCATCTAGAACTGCTGGCTAGAGTATGAAACCTATATAAACCCACTGACTCTTAGTTACTGTTACGTTTATTAATGTTCCCAGTAGGCTGTCTCCATATGGAACCTTAGTCTGTTCCCAAAGACTGCTGTCCACACAATGCCCAGCAGTTTGTTTCATTAATAGAGAAAGTAAATTTTAAGAAGATAAAAATACGGGGGAGGGGGGGGGGTGGAGGCAGGGGTTCCGCATGCCTTTAATCCCAGCACTCGGGAGGCAGAGGCGGGTGGATCTCTGAGTTCAAGGCCAGCCTGGGCTACAGAGTGAGTTCCAGGAAAGGCGCAAAGCTACACAGAAACCCTGTCTCAAAAAACCAAACCAAACAAACAAACAAAAAAAGAAGATAAAAATGACCTGATTCCCTTTTGCTTCCCAACAGATCTCAGACGGATTCTTCGCCCATTTTTATGCCATTTGCGAGCACATAAGCCCTGTCTTAGCCTGGGGCTTCCTGGGTCCGAGAAGTTCTCTGTATGACTTGTGTTGCTTCTTTAAGGTAGGTTCAGTCATTGAGTCATTGCCTTAAAAAATAAAACAAAGCTGTTTACTTTTGTATAGCATATAAAGTTGTAAAAATCACCTAAATTCTGTATCTAAATGCCAATGTTAAATTGGTGGTATTTTTTAACACCAACGTTAATATACTGGACCAGTGCCTCAGAGAGCTGAGGCCGTACTGTAGAGTAGATGCCACAGCTCCACGGACTGCGTCCACTTTTCCTGTTAGGGTCCTGAACAGTGTTACTGTGTTACCGTGGCACCTGTGTGGTGGTGTGGTGTAGAACCAAGTTCTGAACAAGATGATATGAATGGTGAAATCAAGTTATAAGAAATCACATGGGAATTTAAAGTTGTGTCCTCATGTCAGAAGTTTGTGTTTGCCAAAACATTTGTTAGAGGCCACTGCACACTGTTCTGGCTGGCGAAATGCCAAGGAAGACCTCAGTATCGAGGTGGGTAAATCTCAAGGGGCAGTCAGACGAGAACGAATTTGAACGCTTGGATGCCTCACGGAACTGTGAATTCCTAAAAAATTTTCTTTGCTTTAGTAATACAGTGTTTGTATAAATGATTTAGGAAGTATTTATTTTACTGTCGTTTAAAACTCATTACTTTGTTTCTAGTCTACTTAACCCTCCAGCTGTGAAGTGTGTGTTTCAGTGGGAACAGTAGAGCTGGTGGTTAAAAGGCCTTGAGTTCTCCGACTCCCGCCCTCCTTCCTTTCTGTGGACTGGGGCACTAGCAGGTCACTGGCCTGTGACCCTGCAGTGACTCTGTGAAAGCCTTCCTAGTAATTCTTAACATGCGATTGCTAGAGGATTAAAGTTTGATGTTACTGGGTTTTCTCTTCACAATTCACTCTTTCCCATCATTTCATAGTAGTTGAGGTTTAGTTTTTAATAGTCCACGACTTACTTAAAATGTGCTTTGTATTAATTCACTGAAATGAAACTCTTCAAGGCCTGCCACTGACTCTCGAGATGAAACTATTATTTTTCATTTATGTCTTTTTAAAACAGAAATATATTCATTTAAAAATATTGTGATTATTGAGAGTGGCTCTTTTTCCTATGCCTATATGGCCCAGTGCTCAGGGGCGACCTGACAGGAAAGACTGGGAAACAGCCCTCACAGTTACACAGTACCTGGGGGCTTCTCATAGATGACCTCTTTTGATCATTCTGCTAGCTCTGTGTACTAGACAGGATGTGATGGTGCACGTCTTTAACCTTAGCACTCAGGAGGCAGAGGCAGGCAGATTCAAGGCCAGCCTGGTCTATAAAGAGAGATACAGGACAGCCAGGGCTGTTACACAGAGAAACCCTGTCTCAAAAATGACAAGAAGAAGAAAAGAAAAAAGAAAAAAAGACAGACAGACAAACAAACAAAAAACAGGACAAGTAGTATTTGTCCAAATTCTACAGACGTAGAAAACAACAACCCAAAAGATTAAATAACTTGTTCAAAGTTTGCCCATGAGATGTGAAACCAGCCCAGAACTAAGGTGTCTGACTCCTGGTTCAGTGTCTGTTCCAATGTTAGCAATTCATAGACTTAACAAATTGTGGTTTAATAAATACCAGTTTCTCATCTGTTCATTTTCCAGAATCAAGTTCTTTTCTTTCTCAAAGACATCTTTGACTTTGAGAAGGTGCGCTATTCGAGCATAGACACGTTGGCGGAGGACCTCATGCGTTTACTCATCCGCCGCACAGAGCTGCTGGTTGCCTGTCTTGGCGCGGATGCCCTGAGGCACGCCTCTGCTTGTACTAGTGGACAGTGCCACGCCGTGCCCACTGCACTGTTAGAAGCCAAAGTACAGTAGGTCCCGGAAGAGGACTGAGAGTGAGCGCTCGCCAATACCTTCAAGGAACTACTGTGAGGTGTGCCTCAGAATCCACAGAATTGACGATGTGGACTCAGGGAGGGAGAAAGGAAGTCTCAGAGGTGGATGGTCATACTGTATTTATGCAGAAATGCTGTCATTGAATCCATGTGTGATGTGTCCAGAGTGACTTCTTAATAATCTTTAGGTAATAATTGAAGTTGTGAAATGTTGCATATTTTGTGGCTGTTTCGTGAATTGAAGCCAACACATAGGAGTTTATTAATTGTCTTCACACTATCTGGAATGTCCAGTATCATTCTCGAAATATGTCTCAATGCTTTGCACCTTGAAAAGACACTAACCCAAGACGATTGTGGTTCACGTGTGTAAGAGTTTATAACTTCTAGTGTCAACATACTTAACTTTGCCTGAAATGTATTCTTAACCATTAGGTTACTGCTTCGTTTAACCAAATGTAGGCAATAGTGGTGTTCAGCTGTACTGTTTGCCTTATTGCTTGTATACTTGCTTTTGTGTTTGAATCAAAGAAACTGTAGTCCCCGAGGACTGGAGGGCAGAACCAGAATGTGTGAAACTGAGCAGTTTCTGGTGTGTGCCTTGTGGAGAATCGCCTGTAGTCTACAGAGTATGTTACTGGTGTCCTGTTTATAATATGGTGAAGTATTTTTATCTTTTTATAAATTGGAACAGCTTCCCTCAGATGAATACTAAATTTGAAAATATAATTTATTTACCAAGAAAAATAATTTTAAAAATTATCCTCTTTTAAATGTAACTAAACCTGATAGAATCAAATAACTTCTCCTTTGTCCACAAAACAAACAATTCCCCCACAGAGAGCTCAGCACACTGGAAGTTTGCCATGTTATGCCCAAATTTTAAAAATACTCATACTTTGAGCTTGGGTTTTAAAAGAATTTTCCTTTCAGAAATAGAATAAATATTTTAAATGATATGGGAATATATTTTATGTCCTCATGATAAACATATGAACAGTGGCAAAGTATGTTATATATTTTCAAAGCCTCATCAATTTTGTGTTAAGGTCATGACCCACTTGTACATCAGGGGGTTGGATTTCTTGATTGTGGTCCTAACGTGGGCTGCATTAGTTTTAAGAGTGTGTTATACAGAAAGATCTGAAATGCGTTTCTAAAAAATGCATTTTTAGATTAAAGTGCCTAGATTAAGGTTAATGATGAGCAAATAAAAAGTAAAAGTAAGTTTAATTTTTTTAAGATTTTAAATTTTTATATATACATCATGGTTATGTAAGTTAATTACAAGATGTAAAATTTAGACTTGTGCCATTAGCGTGTATAGGCTATTAGGGCCTTACACCTGTTTTGATTTACAATGCCTTTTCCTACATCACTTTTTAATTTCCTAATTACCTGCCTGTGATTCTTCCCGATGACAAGTACCAAAATGCATTCTACCCTGCTTCCCTTTTACTTACATTAGCGTGTCTACCTTCCGACGTCACTGGATGTGAGTGACAGACAAGAGTACATGCCTACACATTCTGGTTACCCCATACGCAAGACAGTTATGGATTGCATCAGTTTATTCATTGGAGAGCTAAATATTTTATGCCGGGGTTTTATAAGTGAACTTCCTCTTGGGGAAAGTGCTGTTTGGAGTAGTTTTGAAGACTTGCACTGTATGTGGCGATGCTGCTGCTACAATGAGATCACCTTGGTGGGTGGCCTTTCCGAAAAGTGTTGGATTTCTCCCTGCTTTTCAATTTCAGTTAAAAATAAGTAAATTGCCCATCTTCAAGAAAGGGTTGGTTTGGCTGGGTGGTGGTGGTGCACACCTTCAATCCCAGCACTCAGGAGGCAGAGGCAGACGGATCTCTGTGAGTTCGAGACCAGCCTGGTCTACAGAGCGAGATCCAGGACAGCCAAGGCTACACAGAGAAACCCTGTCTCAAAAAAACCAAAAAGAAAGAAAGGGTCAGTCTGTCAAACTGAAGTGCTTAAATCGATTAGTTTCTGGTGAGCGAATCATCTAGCACACTTACCAGATACCTTCTTTGTGGCCTTTGGCAAAAACAGTTAAGAACGACCTAATAAGATTTGGGGGCAATATGGGCTGGAGAGATGGCTCAGAGGTTAAGAGCACTGACTGCTCCTCCAAAGGTCCTGAGTTCAAGTCCTAGCAACCACATGGTGGCTCACAACCATCTGTAATGAGATCTGGCGCCCTCTTCTGTATACATAATAAATAAATAAATCTTTAAAAAAAAAAAAAAGATTTGGGGGCAATAAATACAGGAGAAAAGTCTTTGGGGGGTGGTGTAAGGGGATGGGAACTTAACTTTTTAAAAGAAAATGCCTCTTTAAAAAGAATATCTCTGACTTGACTGTTGAAAATACTTAACATATATATTAAAAATATAAAATATATAAAACTAAACAGAGAAGCGATGCTTTACAAAATAAAACAAAACAAAAGATTAAGTTAGGCTTGAGCCTGTTGGGGAACGGGCAGCTAACGGGACTCACGGTGTCTACTGAGATCGCCTGCTGTAGCCTTGTTTTGTGGGGTGTAAGAGGGCAGAGTTAATGCCGAGAAAAATCTTCCAAAAAGAAGGAAAAGCATGCAGTTGATTTATTTTCCTTTGTTTCTCTGTTCTTGTTCAACTAAAAAGGTAGAATTTCTTCCCAAAGATTAACAATATGTTCGTGAAATGACAAAATGGAGCTGTCTTTTTGACAAGAAGCCAAGTTTTCTACTCTGTTAAAGTCAGCTCCGAAGACCTGCGTCTGTCTCCTGCAGTAATACCCATCATTTGCACCTGTTCACCATGGTTCTATTGATTTGCTGGGTTACCTGACTATAGAAAAGTATTTACAAATGTTTCCTTGCTTTAAGATGTAGTGTTTCTACTTAATTCCCAGCAGTTAGCCTGGAAATGAGGAATACCAAAGTGACAGAGCGGTGGTGAACTGCTCCAAGTTGTGTTTGTAACTCTGTTTTTACTTTTACTATGAACGTGGATTCAGAAATTAACTGGCCTGTAATTCCAAACTGACTATAAGGATTAGACCAAATTAAAATCTATAAATTTTTAACTAACAAATACGTGTGTGAGATGTAAGAATTTATGTACCCTGTGAAAATGGACATGAAAAACACTTTGTTCCTACTGATCATGCTGTGTTACCATTCCCTGACTGGCGTCAGCAAATCTGTTTCTTCGGTGTAAGGACTGAACTCATTAGTCTGTGTAAGAGTCCAGCACCGCGGAAGCAGCCGGCCACACTGGCCCCTTGCCGGCACTAGGACCAGCATGTCTCTGTTCCAGTCAAATAAAAAAGTGATGGTGTCTTGGTGATGTGCTGGCTACTGTAAGTCACGTTCTATATGATTGTGAGGCCACAGTCGCCTCAGTAGGCTCGTGCTTTGACATAGACCACATATGGAGGCAGAGAGAAGCAGAGGACTCTGGGAGGTCTGAAATCAAGTGTAAAATATTATCAAATATCTGTATGTGGTAACATGGAAATAAAGATAGCATTGTGATGGATGAAGTTCCGGTATTCGTGTTTTGGTTAAGACACTTGGGTGAACAAAGCCATCCAGCAGCATAGCTCATGGAGTGGCTATCCTGCACCGGTCCCTCTTCATTGGTGCTTTTATTTCCCAGTGCTGGACAGTAAACTCAGGATTTAATGCATGCTAGGCAGTGCTCTACCACTGAGCTGCTCTCCTGGGTCCTATTTTTAAAGTTCCTTTGGTTTGTTTTAAAAGGGTCTGATGTAGCAGCCCAAGCTGGCTTTGGCTCTACCTCCCGAAGGCCAGGATTACAGGCATGCACTACCTTTCCTGTTTTATTTTTAAACTTGTTAAATATATGAACTGAAGTCTGTTACTTAATAATCAGGTCACACAGGCATGAGCTGAGTTTCCGGTGCTGAGGTCTCCCTTTTTGTCCCTCATGTCCTTGTCTGGCTTATTCTTTGTCGTCTCTTTTGCCCTCTTTGGTTCTCCTAGCTAAGCTTAAGGTTTTGGCACCTTAAAAATTTCACAGAATTCTTTTTTGTTTTGTTTGTTGTTTTTGTTTTGAGACAGAGTCTCCCTGTTTAGCCCTGGCTGTCCTGGAACGCTATAGACCAGGCTGGCCTGAAATTCAGAGATCCATCTGCCTCTGCCTCCCGAGTGCTGGGATTAAAGGTGCGCACATCTCGCCCGGTCTGTCAGTACACCCCGTGGGGCTACATCCCAACTGTGATCTTTGTGAACACCCCTCATCTGCCGCTGCCCCTGCTGTTCTTCCCCCTCATGAACACTTGTCCCTGTGCTGTCTTGTCTGTTCCTCCCC